GTTACACTGTTAAATTAAATAACATTAAATAAGTTACACTTATACCAACATAAGTTACACTGTTGCCAAATGCCATTAAAAGTGATTAGTAGCCAGAAATTAAGTAAACATATTAAAGGGGTCAGATGATGCTATTTTTTTTAATTCATCATTTTGTTTATTGGGTGTAATAGAATAGATTATAGGCTTTAATGTTCAAAAACATTTTTCACATACTGTACATTATTGCAGTACCTCTATTCCCAGTCTTTATGGAACTCGTTGATTGAGTTCCGGTTTCTACAAAGCCCCTCTATCCAAAAAGCCCAGAGTGCTCTGATTGGCCAGATGACCCAGTGCATTGTGATTGCCTAAACACCTCAAGCATGTGTCGGAAATGCATTGCCCCTTACCATAATCATGAGCTTCAGCTTTCAAGACTTCTAAAGCAATTGTAAACTCAAACTGTTAATGTAATAATTTTTATCGTAACAGTTCGAGCCCGATAATCAATCGGAACCAACTTGTACACAAGCATGACTTGTGTATAGCCAGCGTTGTACTCTCCAAGGTTGGTCAACAATCACACTTTTGCTCAGGACCATTTTTATTAATAAATCTTAACCACTGATTCCTAATTTCATCCAGTTTCGGAAAGCCACACAAAGGGGTTTTGCTTTCGCCGAAACGCAGCGTCTCTGTGACATGGCGACAACACTACAGTTCTCTTTTAGCCTCACCTTCTTTCTTTGTGCATGCGTTTGGGCGGTATTATGCTAATATTTAACATTGTTATGTAGACGTTCGCGGAAGCAATATCTGGATTTCGATCTATTCTAGGCAGGTCTAGAGCAGTGTTCTCTGTTAGATAGATTAAATCCCTTTGTGGGAGAGTATAAACTTATTTAACCTTGAGAATGCACAAACAGATACATTTACACACTAAAGGAAAATATCCAATTCCAGTCAAATAACAATGATTTTTTTCTACGGTGGCCGAGAGAGCTCAAAACTTTGCAACTGAAGAAAACACATGCACATCGAAAAAACACCAGCAAATTCAGAAAATATCATCACTTTGACAACACATGTACTGCAAATACTCACAATGGAACCAAAAACAGAAAATTGCTGCAAATAGCACAGATCACAATGGAAATGTTTCAAGGGGACCCCAACAAGTGACAAACCTGGCTGGGACATGCTTATTGTTCAATGTCTCCTCATCAGTGGTGTTGTCGATGACCTGAAAGGTGAGTTTTTTGTTTATTTTAACGTTTCTGTTTTTGGTTGCATTGTGAGTATTTGCAGCACATCTGTTGTCAAACTGAAGAAGATGTTTTCTTAATTTGCTGGTGTTCTTTGTATGCGTTTTCTTCGATTGCAGCTCTCTCGTCCACCGTATTTTTCCATGTCTTCTTAACGCCAACTGTGTCAGAGTTTCAGTTCTGTCAACAATAACAGCATTGCCGCCTTCAATCATTGCTCAACCTTGTATGCAAATCAACTACGCCTAAATATCTCAAAAATGTTCCCCCTGGTTTCTCAATTTCCTTTTTAACAGACTTGTGTGTCAACAGCAATCAACGTGGAGACAGTCAACCCGTTTCGGTCAAACAAGTCTGAGGAATGGATAACTCCACGACCTGGTATTTGGCGCTGAGGTGGCATGGGTCCAGTCACCACAGGCCACTCTGCAATCCCCAAAATAGTCACTCTAAATTATAGGTTCATTTTGGACCCAAAAAGTGCAGAGCCTGATTTCAGTGGATGTTAAGAATATGTCTATGATCACTATGGTTATTCCAGCAGATCTGAGTTTGGAAACTTTCTTTTATGCAATTAAGGAACTAGCAAACCCCTGCAATGGTTTCCATCTCAAAACCACAAGTCTGTATTTTGGTGTTTTATTCAGTCTGGCAGAATAATGAGATGTCTAAGGGAGAGCCACAGTATTGTAAGGTATGTCAGCCCGCAAACACCTACTTTATCTTTAAAATGTAAAGCTGAGATTAGTCTATTTGCTTTTGTATTTAGTTGTAGTATTTAATGTTAATTGCAGATATGAATTTTCAATCTTCAACACAATATAGTCTGTTCAAGCAGTTGAGGTTTTCATGCTTCGCATTTATAAAGGCGCCCCCTTGATCTATTTACAGATTAACTGGAAGCCAATTAAATAATCTGTCTGACAGTTTCTAGTTGACAGGCTGTAAATGCCAAGTGAACCAGATCAGAGCTGAGCAGACAGTCCAAGGTGAAGCACATTGGCCAAGAGGCACTGAAACCTTGAGTGGTAGACAATCTCTCTGTTCACCACGCCAAGTTGTGTATGTGTATGATTGAGCTAAAGGGGCTGGAGCTATGCTAGCTATCACAGCTGATTGATTGTCCTCCAAAGCCCATTACCTTGTGTTCTGTTTCAGGCTGCCAAGCATCTCCCCTTTGGTCCCGTTCACAAAGGCTAAGCAAAACATTTCAACACTTCATCTGATATCAATTAGTAATCACTTAGACTGTATGTCATATATATATAGTAATATAATAAGTACCACACACACCCAGTATTTAATATAATTTATTATGCTAATAATACCTCGTTTTATAAAGATGGTATGTCCTTTATATTTCACAGAAGTAAAAAATGCTGTTTTTTCGATGAGAGACTGATTCACATTAGACTTGAAATATTTTAATATATGTATTAAGATACTGTTTTTATTGGATATAACAGTGATGTATCATATTGTTTTATTATAAATCCTACTATAATGGTTTCCAGGTGCACTATTCATTAATTTTTGTATAGGTTTGGCTTGATTTGGTCAATCGCAGTAGTCAGTTGGAAGAATTTCCACAATTTTTTTTTTTTTGTACCTTTGTATTGTTTCTGTTTCGCAAAACGGACACCGGTAGACCGGACACTACCTCTTTTTCTACAAGATATGACTTTCCTTAATACTGTTTATCCAAACTTTAGTGGAAGGGAGGCAGACTTAAACAATGGCTAGATTTACAGGAAGCAGATAAGCAGCAAATAGGCAATTTAAAGGCGGCTGGAATTATCGCAAACATTGAAGCGGCTGAAGGTCCATGACCTTCAGAGTTAGTTCAGCAGATGTGTAAGTGTAAGGTGACCTCACAAAACAAACCTAATGATTTCACTGGAAACACAAGTAAACCGCAGCTTCGATCAACTCTGTTGATTTCAATATGAGAAGTTAAAAAGCATGTATTGAAACTCCAACAACCCACTCCCATTCCAAAAACCTTGTGTGGATTCTGTTATATGGAACATCTGTGTCAATATTATTAGATCCGTCAGCCTTTTTGTGCTTTTAAATTGCTCAAAGCGAACCACTTTCCATCTGAGAATGGTCAGCCATGAAAACCCTCAGGTATGGGGGTGTGTGTGTGTGTGCTACTGAACTACTTGAAGCATCCAAGGAAATATTTTAGCCCACACTTTCCTGGAACTTGCCTTGAATCATTGAAGGTTTGCAAACAAACAACTAAAAGGCCTTGATTTTAAGGATTAAAGCAAGAAATATACTAATAATTGATCATTATTATCATAATATTAATCATAATATCCATCCAATGTGTTATGAAACCGCCATGAAGTTTTGTGCCAATTTAGAGTAAAACAGAGTAATACTGTACACTATGTTTACAGTAATAAAGTACTGTTCATTTAAAGCTAGTATGACTAAACTATAATACTGCTGTTGACCTTTTCAAATTCAAGGGCAAATTACAGTAATCTGCCAGCTTCCACATGGTAAGATTTTTGTTTTACACATGGGACACTGTACAATGATTTGATGCAGCTTTCAATCTGATATTCACCTTTTTGACCTCTCTGGGCCTCTTTTAGTCATTGATTGGTTCCTCTCTTTGGCAGTCTATCTTTCTATGTGAATTAATTGCAAATGCTTACACACACTTTGTAAATATATATGGTAAACAATATATTGACACTACTGTAATATGAACTCACTATTTTTTGCTATACTGTTTCAGACATCTATTTTTTAGTCATTTCTGATATAAAATTAATAGATATATAGTTTGTTGATTAACTATTAAAATAAGCTGGATTAAATGCTAGTCAAATGAATTAAAATTAATAGATGCACATTTTATTTTTGCTTTTCGTTGTACTTGTACTATGACAATAAAGTTTAGTTACTGCATTATGAATGAACTTTTTATTTAAATTAATTGAAGCAAAGATGAAGGACTTGTATTATTATTTTGTACAAAATCAAGTAAAAACATGCAGATTTTTTATAAATGCATTTTTGAGAGTATTGAACCATTTACTTAAAGTTGTCATGAAAAGTTGTCATAGTCTTTTCTTTCCTATTGTAGGCTAATGTACTGTATATCCAAGTGAAACGGCGTCTTTGAACGAAAAAAAATGTAGGGCGGGACTTGATTTTGTCGATTAGGAATTGATTGGATGGTTGGGTCGTTGTGGTTTCATGTGAGTGACAGGTTGTCCCGCCCTCATGCCAATAAACACGTTATCAGAGAAGAGATGTTGTTGCGATAGGGGAAGTTTTTTTTATTAGAAATTACGTGGGCACACATTTTATTTTTTAAATTTTTTTAATTACGTGCTTAAATCATTTATAATAAATACATCAATCCCATTAAAAACAATAACTGCCAATTTGAATTTCATGGTTACTTAAAATAGTACCAAAGTGAAAATAATTTGTGAAATATTATTATTTAAGTGTATCTCCTACTAAAAACCCTGGTCTGGTTATAGGTGTCTGGTTGCCCAGCTGGGACAGACTGAGAGATCAAACAAGAAAACAACCTTAGCTGGTTTAAGTTTTTTAAGTTTTTTTTTTTTTTTACTCCCCATGTTTGTTAGACAATGCATTATTCATCATTAATCAATCATGTCCAGCTTGAATAAGCCTCAGTTTGGGTTTGTGTGTAATAGTGGAATGGGATGGGATGGGGAGGGTGGGGTATACAGTCTCGTCAGTAAAAGTTTACCCACACGCTGGGAGGAACCATTCCCCTCGCCAGCCGACCCACACAAGACACATTTGAGCTCAATTCTCTCCCTCTCCTCTGCACAACCTTTCCCTCAGATATGCTCAACACAGAGCGGATTCAGCACACTACATCAGGAACTAAACGCGGTCCTCGAAAAGAGCACATCTCAGGTACGTGGATGTTCCGTTTTATTTAAATTGATTAACATATTCGAAAATGGGCTTATTGACGAGGCTTTCTTGTAGACCTTGCCGAATAAACGCGATTTCAGCTGCTGACGTTAGTAACACTGACCCGGGCCGTTCAATAAACGCAGGGAATGAAGCGTCTGAGGGATGAACTTGTGAGATAACGGTCTCATACATCTGTCGTCCTGTAGGCTAATGTCCCTGCATCTATCACAGAATAAATGACCACAAATACGGCTGGAATGATATTGTGGACTGAGATGAATTGCGTTGATGATTATCAGCTAATTTGTTGCTTTCCGCTGTGGAAAAAAAAAAAATAGTCCAGAAGGCAGACAGCTTGCTGCTTGTCTGTAAATTGTGTGCTTAGGGGTCGGGCGCAGTGCGCAAGATGTGTGTTCTAAAGGCTACATTAGAGAGGTAAAGGATGAAGTGAGCAGATTGCAGAGGAGAAATGGGCTTCACGTTGCATGCCATTATAACTTTGATGTCAAGTTATGTGCAGGATTTTCTGTATCCTATTTCAAAAGTGTTCAAATCCACAGCTAACAACAACTCTTTCCTTTTTTAATGTTTAAAACATGCATGTTATAGCTACACGCACGCCTGACGCCATCATTTTGGTGTCACTCGCACAATACAAAATTAAAAAGTCAAAGTGTGGGGGCTGGGGGTGTTGTTAACCTCCTAATTAGCCTAAGTCGTACATTAACAGGCTGTGTTTTACGTGGGTTTTCAAACTTTTCAATAACCATATGAGTTTGGTTAGGCCAATATTTAGCGAATTCCTCGCGTTCATCAGGAGATAACCATAATAACAACATTGGTCGGAACTAGCGTTAAGGCCCGTTCACACCAAGAACGATATTATCGTCCACGTCCACATCAACACACAATATGGTTCTGTTTATTTTAAGCACGCGCTTCAGTTCTGTCATCTGCTGATTTAAACGAGCTCTTTAAAGCAGGATTGATTCTTATTGGCTGTCAATGTTCAGCTAGAAAAAATCATTGTGAACCTAATTCTAATTTATCTGATCATCTTTATGTACCGTTATTGTTATAGTTGCGCTGACTCTGCTATTCTTTTAAATTAAGAATGGTTTTTAAAACTATATCTTTATCGTTATAGTTATGATCCTTCTTGGGTGTGAACAGCCCTTTATTATTTGACACTTTATTAGCCTACATAAAATAAAAAAAAGTTACCAAGTTGACTGGGGACCCAAAAAAAGTCGACCTCTCCGAAAACGATAATAGCCTATTCCCGTATTATACCGATGTGAATGGAGATCAGGCAACTTCTATTGGTTGTGTCAGCAGTTGTTGTTAAACTGTTCAGACAAACAGCCTCCTGTTGTGTTGACACTGGCTGGTTATAGTGAATAACATCAAAGGGCATGTGTCTCACGTGCAGAGGAAGCGACCTGTGTCAGTTCGCGGGATGCGAACAGTGAGGTGCGAGGTCAACAACTCTGCGCCGGATGGTAACTCCACTCAGTTGGGAAGCTACTGTTCAAAAGAAGGGCTGCTTTTGGTTGACCTTGACTTAGATGCCAGCAGTGCAGAGGAGTCTGGTTTAGAATGAGCCCTTATCTATGTGAAGGGATGTTTTGTGATCAGAGTGGTATTGGTACAATGTACAACAGGTCTTTTGATTGCCAAGGTCCTGTTTAGAGGCTGTTGGGAAGGACCTAATCAAGCATAGCATATCTGTCTTCATGTGGTTTACAGATCTTTGTTTTCAAAAGCAAGAATGTGGGCCATTTGTTATATAAAGCTTCGCATGTTGGAAGCTGTTGTAAAAGGTGAAGAAACAAAACAAATGGTTGATCACAATAAAATGTGAATAGGTCAAGTTGATGCCAAAAGGATCAAATGATCAAACAAAGGTCTAATGTGAGGGAAAAATATATAGGCAAAATATAACAAAATATATTGGTCTATCGCTATATTTTCCCCCCACGTTACAATGTGGAAAAAAATAAATAATATATATATATATATATGGGGAAAAAAAATTATATATACATTTTCCCCCCATATATATATATATATATATATATATATATTATATAAACATTATTTTTATGTTTTTGAAAGAAGTCTCTTATGCTCATCAAGCCTGCATTTATTTGATTAAAAGAATACAGAAAAACATAATATTGTGAAATATTATTACAATTTAAAATATTTCTATTTTCTATTTTAATATACTTTAAAATATATTTTATTTCTGTGATGCAAAGCTTCATTTTCAGCATCATTACTCCAGTCTTCAGTGTCACATGATCCTTCATCACATTCCAATCATTCTAATATGTTGATGATTTATTATCAATGTTGGAAACAGTTGTGCTGCTTAATATTTTTTTATAACCTGTGATTTTTCATGATTCTTTGATGAATAAAAAATATTTATATGGTTAGAAATATGTGCTGTTCTTTTTAACTTTTTATTCATCAATGAATCCTAAAAAAAAGTATCACAGTTTCCAAAAGAAAAATTAAGCACTGTTTCCAACATTGATAGTAACGGAGTATCAAATCAGCGTGTTAGAATGATTTCTGAAGGATCATGTGACACTGAAGACTGGAGTAATGATGCTGAAAATTCAACTTTGCATCACAGAAATAAATTATATTTTAAAGTAGGCCTATATTAAAATTGTAATAATATTTCACAATATTACAGTTTTTTCTGTATTTTTGATCAAATAAATGCAGGCTTGAGCATAAGAGACTTCTTTTTAAAAACTTTAAAATTGCTATAGGCCTATTAAATCAGGCCTATTTTGAAGGCAGTTATTGCAAATAAATTTAGTATTTGGTCAATATCACTTGTATAGTTATCCCTAAAAATCCATATTGGTTGACCTCAAGATGTGCTTTTTTCTTTCACAGAACTTTATCTTCAAGTGACACTGAACTAAGAACATGTACATCCAAAGTATAGTCTACTTAAGTATTCCTTAAGTCTAAAGGAAAGGGAGGGCAATGGAAGGACAGAAGAGGAAGAGAGCTGAATCACAGAGCATCACTTATCTAGTGGTACGTGGAGAAAAGGCTGGAGTCTGTTTCCTGGAAATGTGCTGATACGCTGATGCACACATGCAGTTGGTCACATTTAAGTGGTGAGGGCTGTTCATTACTGAACAGACTGATGACATAATTCTTTCCTCATTTTAAAACTGCTCAGTTAATCATTCAGATTTCAGTGGAATTTTAGGCACTTTACAGTGGTGTGTTCATTTGTAAACATGCATAGAGCGTACAAGATCTAATCCATAATAGAGATTAATGAATAGAGTTGCCTCGTTCAAAAAACGGAGAATGTTCTTACAATCTCCGGCAAATCATTGCACAGGTTCCCATTCAGTTCATGAATGTAATCGTTGTAATCGAATGGCCATCATCGCGTTTATTAAAAGAATTGATAACATCAACGTATAAGTTTGTTTTCAATTCTTGCCTGTATTGGAAAAGAAAACAGAAAGAGAACAGGAGAAGATACCCGAAGTTCCAAATTTCGGACACTGCATTTGAAAATCTGTGAACGTTTTTTTCTTTCAAACTTGGATTTTTTTTCCAGTTTTTGGATTTTTATAAAAAAAATTAACAGTTTATCAAAAACAGAAGTTTGATAGATATACTACTAAACTAATTACAATAGTTTGAGTTGCATATTGGTCGACATTAGGGTGCAATAAAATGTAAAAGACAAGCTTTCCCCCCACAAATTCCTTATATATTGCATAGTAATGAAAGCTGGTGGATCAACAATTTAACTGCTTTAAGATCAGAAGCATTTTGGTTGTGATAAACATTTAACAAGCTAAGTGCAACCATCTGCAGATGAAACTGTGCAATGAAATAGTGGCCTAATGGTAATTAAAAGAGATCCAGGGTAAAGGATTGGTAATAGCTCTTGCATATGATGATGTCATACATTAGATTAGAGGCCTTAAACTCATATGGAAAACAGATGGACCACTGAACTTTCCTATGCTCCTGTATGGATTCCTCTGGTCAAATACATTAGCCTGAGATGATTAAGCTCAGGGGAGGAATAGAAACCGATAAGGATCACTGGTCAGCTTTTTTCCTCTGATTATAACAGTAACCTTCTTCACTGTTCAAGGTTTGAAGGGTATATGAGCACAAGTAAAGCACTATGTAGTACTGATATTAGGTGGGCTATTCAGTTTTAAGTGTCGTTACTTTGCCGTTTATTTGTTAATACTAAATTCTAGGCTTTTATTTGCTATTGCAGCTTCAGTGATAGTCTATAGTCACCAAGTTTTCCTGTCTGTGCTGTCCAACACAGTGATGTTTTTTTGAAACGTCTCTAAGCTTCTTCCCCTTCATTTGAGATCATATTATTTGGCAGGATAAGAGCGTAATTAGCAGAATGGCTGTGTATGCCAGTCCTTTGATCAGAGTGTTTTTAACTGATAAACCTTGTCACTGTCATCTCTCTGTAAAGTCTCCTCACTCGAATTATGTACAGCCATGCGGGTTAGTTCATTAGAAACCCTGTTGTGAATAAGTCATACTTATCGTCAGTGCTTTTTATAAGCATGCTTTTGTAGACGTCCTTGGTCAAATCATTGAACCTTCTACAAGGCCTAACATAACCGTTTCCCCCCCTCGCGATTAGGTTGTTATTGTGGATTTTGGATCATTTTTCTCAAGGCCTTTGTGCTTCCTGACATAAACAAGAAGATTGGGCGTACAAATCACGAATGTCTCAAATGACATTGAAAAATGTCACCCATTAGTGACAGTCACAGGCATATATTTTAATAGACATATAAATTTTGATTTGTTTCATTCAAGTGCTGACCATTCTGTTCAGTTTAAATTTCCACATTAATAGCACAAGACAGAGCAGCAGTTGACCTTGACAGTATGTTCAAGCATTGATACAAAGACCTCATTTTGAGCCAACACATGTCAGGACTGCGAGGAGAGAAACGCCA